TGGCAGTGCACTGTCGGAACGTCGAACTGTTCATTATGTACTTATCAATGGTATGCGTGTTATAAAAGACTATCAAGGAACAAGGGACTTTTTCAAAAAGATTGCGCAAAGCACAGCACTTGCAGCCTGGGAAATCCCATTTCGTTGAACCCTGCTGCTGGGGTCAAGTGTTTTACATTATAAACAGCTTACGTGCCATATTATTGCATTATACAGTAGGCCTAGTTGTTCTTTTGCCATTAGCCCTAGTTTAGACTGTTGACTTATTCTCTGTTAATTTCAGTTCATGATAAAACCGACCTGTTTATGCTTGCAATCCGTTTGAGAGGTTTAGAGCTTACATTGTCTGGGTGTTGCTCTGATTTCTTCATAGTTTCATTTTTTCATCTCTATATTTGTTCAACTTTTACTCGAGCATTTGCCGGTAGGAAGTGATCTTGTAGAATTTCTGAATTATAGTTTTCTTTATTATTTGTGCGATGTGTGCTTTTTAGTCGTATTGTAGTCATGGGGTGGAAGAGCTTTTCATTGTAAACGTTTAGAATTTAAACACTATAGTCTTTGCACGCACTTTATTTTCTATGGTATACGTGTTCAGCTTTCTGGAATCGGCTTGGCATCTAAACACATTCCTGAACTCATTGAAAAGAACGTGTCACGGTTAATCATGTAAAATAAAATGGGTACAAAAGTGGTTAGAAATATTCAACTCTAGGTTCCCTTGTTTAGAGTGTACTGCAAATGTCGATGATAACATTCTGACACTCGCCTTCATTCCGTTCATTTCTAAACCGACAGTTGTAAATAAAGACACGCCGACCGGTATACCAGGCAAGATATGGGACGGAGGGGTATTCCCCCAACCTGTGCAATCACTATACACACTCTAGACTATTGTTACCTAACACACACCCCCCCCCGAAGTCTGTAAAGGATTCCTGAGATGCCAATCAAACAATGACCAACACAAAGGCGGGCGGGTTCTCTTCGTTCCATATCTTGCTTCAAATGCCCACAGGGGCTTAAGAGATGGACAACTGTATTGTGGCTATACCAGGCACGAAATGGGACAGATGGATGCCCCCCAACAAGTCCAATCCCTATACACACTCCAGCCTATTGTTACACCCCCCCCCCCCCAATTTTGGAAAAGAATTCCCCTTATACCAGTAAAACAATGACCTACACAAAGGCGGGAGGGGGGTGCTCTCTGTCCCATAGTTTGCCTCATATGATTGTGGCAGCCAGTGTGCCATTCCCGACCTAATGCAATGCTTTTATCTCTCCCTCCCCCCGATTATTTCCCCTCCCTGAATATGCCGTCCAGCATCAATGCTCACTCTTGACACCGTGAAAAGCAACCGAATTATCCATTCTGTGACCCCAATCTAGCTGTTTTTGATAAACTCGGTGAACTGTTCGTTTGGATTTCAATCGTCAACATACATAAGGCGTATAATTGTGTATAAATATTTTAAAATCATTCAGAACAATTCTGAGTGATAAATAATTGGGACATTGCAATATCAGTCTTCTGTTGAAAAAAATGGCGGGCCTAAGCAGTCTGTCCGTTAAGATACACTCATGCCTGCTCTGGACATGCGTTTGGCTTATGCCACAGCACGGACGCCATATGTAGGCCTATATCGGTATTTCTGGGAATTTCCCGTTTGCGCAATAAACAGCCATTGCGAAACCGTATCGCGGCGTCCCCGATTTCAGTCATATTCCCCAACGTAGTGTATTTACTGCAAAACGTTAAATGTAAAGAACCAGACTATATTCCACAGTTTCATTCCGACCCACATTATCACCTGGTACCATCCCATTACGGGTTTAAAATTTATACTGCACGTTCAGGAATACGACTGAAATTGAGGACGCCGCAAATACGGTCTATTGATGCACCCCTTTCACATCATCTTCGTGTTTATGGAAATTGTACATGTAACCTCAAATTAAAGCAGACGTGAGGAAGATCGACCGATTTCCTGGCGTAACAATCCTTCTGCCGCATGAGTATATCGCACTTGCTCGACACGTTTCCACCGCATTTAACAGTGGCGTGCTAGAGTACATTGTTTGCCGGCAATCCTGTTGAGCCAACGTCGATCCTGACAGGGATGGCTAGCAACAACCATTTTGGGATGGTGGGTCGCTGGCACGAGCCTAATTCTCAAGACTTGAATGACTTGGAAGGGATGGTTCTCCCGGGAGATCGACTGGAGTTCAGCCGGGCAGGTGAATGGTATGCACACTGGGGTATATACGTCGGTGAATACAATGGGATGGAGCACGCTGTCATCCACTTCGGGATGTTTGAAGGAGGGACAGCCTTCTCCAAGAAGAAGATGTCAGGCAGTGCGGTTTCTGCGAGTAGCAAGCCCGAGGTACGAGCTGACTCCATTCGGGAGGTGCTGGGCACGTCGGGCAAAGTGAGAATCAACAACTCTAAGGACAAAGCGAAAACTCCTTTGTCTGCCCACGCTGTTGTGAGAAGGGCAAAGAAAATGCACCGAGAGAGAGTAGCCATTGATTATAATCTTATCAAAAGCAACTGCGAGCACTTCGTGAATCTTTGCCGGTACGACAATCCAACCAGCGATCAGGTGGATGCGGCATTTACGGGGGCAAGGACTGGTTTTGGCGTAGCAGGTTAGTATACGCACGTATTGGTATCTCAGTCAGAAAGTATAGGACTGTCCAACCTAAAATCTGAGTTTGGGAAAAAACCTTTTTTACTGAGAAGCCGTTGCATTTGCCTTGTTCCCTGAATCTGTCATATTCAGTCTACTATGTTTAATGGGGTGCTTATTCCAGATTTTGTACTCAGCAAATCAGTATACACGTAGTCTGTGAGTACTTTGCCGACCATCGGCTTTATTTTTGATAAATAATATTTTACACACACTCTGCCGTGGGTGGACGCCATGTTTGTTGGTGTTGAGCACCCCGGCCAACATAGTCACGTGACTTAGTAGGTGCACAGTCTATGTCATTGGCTTGGCTATACCCGGACTCAGCTTACGGATTTACTTTGCTCCAATTAAAGAAAGACGGCTGGCCATTATCATATTTTCTTTTGATGAAGCATGGTTAGCGTATTTCACGGCTAATCTAGACGAATTCATCGCAACTATCCTAACTCTGTAACTTCACGGGGGATACAGATCAGAAAAAACAACGTGTTGTAGCAAAGCCATGGTACTTCTTCTTTGACCACTTCACCTGAAGCGCTATTAAGCTGCCTGTTTCTTGTTTTAAGCCTGAAGAGTCCATTAAGACTTTAAAGACAAAATCTCATTTGTACATGTGCGAAATGAGCCATTTCGAAACACGGCCGAAGTCATGCATTGGGGAATACCAACGTGCTCACGAGGTCTAATTTGTCCTGTATACATCGGTGCGGCCATACCGTCGAATCACAAGCGCGCTTTGTTCCCGAATGACCTTGCCTGTTAGAATACCGAAATAAATCCTCCGCACAACGATCAGCAACCGGAATGACATTCAAATTGAAACTGGGAAATACTGTGGAATGAAGCCGTCCACTTTGTGACTGGGGCCTTTAAATATTTGAAGATTC